CCTAATTTGAGTTCTCATAATTTTCTGTATATCACCTACTAAACGAAAAGGAGGCATCTTCTGCAACCAGAGGCAATCCGAACTTCCTATCAGTCCCTGTAAGTTTGTTCTTCTCTAAGAGGTAGAAAAGAATATATTTCTTTTTTTCCATTTCAATGGGATAATTTTTTTTTGAAGGAAATACATAAAGGTGCCTCAAAATAGTGTAGCATGCACAGTTAAAAATATCATGTCAGTTACAAAAACCACTATATTGCAACAAATATGTTGGCAGAATTTAATCATTTTAGAAAATTTTCAAGTGCTTAATTTTCCTGTTTTTGATCACTGGAACTGTTTTATATTTTCCAGTCATCTAATGGACATTTTATTTTTTTGAAGATCATTAAAAAACAAAGAGGAAATAAGTAGAAACAATGACAAAAAAGGAAGTAAATTACTATATAGACAAAATTTCAACTCTCCAGAGTTGAAATTAAGTTTTACTTCCATGTGTGAAAATATTATTTCAAATTATGTTCGGTTTTGTATTCAGTTGTAATTAAATTTTTGGGGGCCAATAAGTCCCATATTGTAAGACTCTGGTGAAAATTCTGCACACAGGAAATTGTATACATACACACGCACACATCACTTTGCACACCATCATGGCAGAGGCCAGTGAAGAACTACACTTGAGAGTAGCAATTTCACCGATTGTTTTGGTATCACCCAACATTCTCAAGTAGGAAACACCTGAGCCAACTCCCTTCTTGACAAGTATACCTTGTCCCAAATAAAGACAAAATGGAAATTAGTGAATTAATTTGATGAGCATCTATTATCTCAATTTTAAACAAAAATCTCAGAGATAAGCAGGGAAGCAAAGGGTGATAGTGCCTTGCTAGATATCATTCAGTGGTAAATTCCAGATTTCTCCCCACATCTCCTGATTTCTAGTTCCACGATTTTTCATAACACCTCATCATCCTCCAAGGACTTCCATCCAGGACACATCTGGAGATGGCCCGTTGCATCAGTCAGAATTAAATTTGATTGGAAAGAAGAATGTCAAATCAAAAGCTGCTTGACTCAGTAGGACTCCCATTTCTTTTTCACGTTTAAGTCCTACGGTGAGTGGTCCACACCTTGATTAGCTTCTCTGCTTGGCAAAGTTCGATAGGGTCCAGGCTCCTGCTTTTGATTCTCAAGCTCATCTGTAGTCCAAGATGACCGCTCAGCATCAGGCATCACAACTGTATGCAGCCAAAAGGAAAGAGGAGATGAAGAAGAACCAAAGTATTCCTGAGTTTTTGAAATTAGCTTCCTAGACTTTGCTGCATGATGCTTCCTCTTACAACTCTTAGGCCAGACAGTCCAGTTGTTGAATGTCATTCTGTGTCCATACATTTAGTTTACACATCTTTTTACTTAGGCTATGCAATTCATTGTTTCTTTTCTTAATCAGAAAAGAAAATTATTCTAGTGACTAAAAATAAAAAATCTTAACAAGACCATGCCTTATCCTAATCGAGTAGCTTTTGAAAATGGCATCCCAGGGTGTTTTGCTTCTTTGATTTCACATGAGTTATGACAATAAATATGTGAAGACAGAGATCTACGTTAAAGTTAAAAAAACTAAGACTTCAGCCGGGCGCAGTGGCTCAACCTGTGATCCCAGCACTTTGGGAGGCTGAGGTGAGAGGACTGCCTGAGCCCGGGGGTTCAAGACCAGTCTGGGCAACTTGGTGAGACCTCGTCTCTATAATAGATCATAAAAACTAGCCAAGCGTGGTGGTGTGCACCTGTTGTTCTGGCTTCTTGAAAGGCTAAGGTGGAAGGACTGCCTGAGCCCTGCTGGTTGAGGCTGCGGTGGCTGTGACCGTGCCACTGCACTATAGCCTGGGCACAAACCTGTAGTCTCAGCTACATTGGAGGCTGAGACGAGAGGATTACTTGAGACCAGGAGGTCGAGGCTGCAGGGAGCCATGATCATGTCACTGCACTCCAGCATGGGCAACAGAGTGCGACTCTAACTCATAAACAAATAAATACATAAATATTACATATTTCATTGTAGATTTTGGGGACCGATGCATGTTCTCTTTTAGAAAACTCCCATTTCCATTATCTATATTAAAGGGAAAATGTTAGATTGTAGTGCTGGGAACCACGTGGTGGGATCAAGAATTCTCTGTCCTTGACCTTTTTCCATGTCTAGGAAAGTCCAGCATCTGAACATTTGGAATGGTCAAAATAACTTAAATATGTGTGTGTGTGTGTGTGTGTGTGTGTGTGTGTGTGTGTATGTGTGTGTGTGTGTATAAGGAAGCTAGCAGAGAACATGAGAACTTGTGTGTTTGCAGTGACATGTTCCAAGTTTCTCTGGGGATTACTTCTTTATTCGTATATCTAAAAAAAATCAGGCATAGATCTTTGTGTTAAATGAGAAACAGAAACTTTCATCAATAAGCCTAATGAACACTTCTGTGGTCAAATGTACCCAATGTGTCAGATGTGGGGAGGGTATCTCTGACAGTTTGGAGTCACAATGTTTACTGAAAAATTATTTCTTTGCATTAGTAAATATAATTCATAAGGTGTTTCTTTTTATGTAATAGAGATGTATATCTGAGATACTGAAACACTGCTATAAAATAACACATTTTCAAAATATGAAAAAATGCCTCTTGAGTAAATTTGATAGTAAGGAAATTGGAAAAGAAACGGTAATTTAGAAGGCTTTTTTGGGTAGGACATACTGACAAGAATATTGTTAAGTAATAGCATAACTTGCAACTTGAATACAAAACCCTTTTATTGGTAAATGAGAAATGGGAAGAACTGCAGCACTGACTACTCAAACTTTCTCATAAATAAAATGAAACTTTAGTTGTTGTTGTTGTTTTTGAGTCAGAATCCCACTCTCTTACCCAGGCTGGAGTGCATTGGCACACTCGTGACCACTGTAGCCTCAGTATGCTGGGCTCAGGTCATCCTTCCATCTCAGCTTTCCAAGTAGCTGGAACCACAGATGCATGCTAATTTTTTTGTTTATTGTAGAGATGAGAACTTGCCAAGTTGTCTGAGCTGGTCTTGAGCCTGTGGGCTCAGTCAATCCTCTTGCCTCCACCTCCAAGACCTGGGATTACAGGCGTGAGCCACTGTGCCCTGCTTTTTAACTTTATTGTAGATATTTGTCTTCACATATTTATTTTCACAATTCATATGAAGTCGAAGAAGAAAAATACCCTGGGATGCTATTCAAAAACTATTAAATTAGGCTGAGGAATGGTTTTGTTAGGATTTTTGACTTGTAGTCACTCAGATAATTTTTTTCTGATTGAGAAAATAAATATTAAAGGAAATAATAACTCAAATGGTGTGTAAAGCTTTGTGTCTTTTATAAGCTGATTAATGGATGAACAATATTCAACAATTGGGATTGTCTCACATCCTCCTAACAACTGGTGGGCATCTGGTCACTGACGATTAAGTGGGTGGCATGTAAGACTAACCTATCCTCCATCTAGAATCTCAATGGGATTAAAGATATTAGAGATGTTTTTATGACTTTTAGGGTTAGAATATATTTCTGTTCTTTCTAAGTTGAGTCAGTGCGAATTCGTGTATACTTCCCATGTGGCATGCATAAGGGAACACATTTATATTCTCACATTCTGAAGCCAGTTTGGAATGCTAAATATTTAGGTATAGACATCACATTTTTAAATGAGACAATAGAATCTCATAGCCACAGTGCTGTCTTTTACTTTCTTGACTGTGTCACCATCCTCCCCTCTGCCCATAAAGCAATTTTGTTAGTTTACATTTGGTTCCCAGAAACAATTTTGCATGAACAACTATCTACCTTATGACCATCAGAAACACCATCATCTTTTAGAATTTTTTTTCTTTTTTTGAGTTGGGGTCTCACCCTGTCACCCAGGTTGGAGTGCAGTGGTGTGATCATGGCTCACAGCAGGCTTGAACTCTTGGGCTCTGGCAATCCTTTTGCCTCAGTCTCTGGAATAGCTGGACTACAGGCGTGCACAAGCATGCTTGGCAAGTTTTTGGATGTTTTTGTAGAGATGAGATCTTGCTATGTTGCCTAGGCTGGTTGTGAACTCCTAGGCTCAAGCAACCCTCTTGCCTCGGCTTTCTAGTGCTGGGATTACAGGCAAGAGCCACTACACCCAGCCTCTTCTTGTGAATTTGATGGCATTCTTTCTTTTATACATTCCTGAATGATTCATGAGGAATGTCCCAGCTTATTTATTGACTTGTTTTCTCAAGACCTTTTAGGATCCTCAAAGATTCTACCCAGAGCGTACAGAGAAGTAAGTTTACTGAAAGTCTAAGAACTTTCCACTTGTACTTCAAATTCTGGCTAGTTGTGTGATGGATATCTGTGTGCTAGATTACTGGAATGTAGACACCACTGCTGCTGTCACTTGATCAAACCCTGAGGTATTGATGCTGGGGCGAAGGGTTTTGTAAAACCATCTTAAACAACAGCATTATAAACACTATATAGGTAAAAGGTTACTCTGATTTGCCTTTAGTCAACATGACTTTCTCTCCTCAACTTATAATACATCGCAAGTTTCTTTTCTATCCATTAGTAAGGCAGGGGTCACAACTGACCAGACTGTCTTATCTGTGTCTATATCTACCAAGAGATGTTTAGTCAGGTAGTTTCCTGAACTGTTTTGAGTTTATTGTACATTATGCTGATGAGAACTGAGTTTGTTGTCTAAGGTACTGAGATTCATATCTATATGAACCATTTTATTTCCTGCTGTCTCAAAGATATAAACAATGTCTACTTCTATCAGGAAAAAACACAGGCAAATTATGTTTTTGAAAATTGAAGATTCTCTTTCTTATTAACAGACCAAATGAGAAGCATTAATTCTGATTATTAATAGTATAGAAAATGCAGAGAATATGACTTATCAAAAACAGAAGATGCATTTTTAAAGCATTGGAATGCATTTTATTTTTATCGTATTAGCACATGGAACAAAGACAAGTAGTTAAAAAGCTTCACTTACAGCTACTTTGTTAGGGTGCTACTGAGAGCGTATAAAAGTAAAAAGTGAGAGTGAGAAGAATCCACTGAGGATATGTTGAAGCCACATCTCCTCCTTTGTTTTAATAGAGATAATTGAAGATGACTTTCTGGTGAAAGGGTAAAAAAAAAAAAAAAATCTCAATTGGCTTAATCCAAACTGAGGACAATTCTTTAGGAAGTATGCCTGAGGATGTACTTGGCAATAAATTTGACAGCTAGCATGGTCTCTTTACAGGTTGACTTTATCCGAGATTCTGGAAGGAGAAAACCAAATTTGCCTTTATCTCGGAGCTCAAAGGCAAATGTGTGTTCGATGCCCAGGTCGTATGCCCAGTCTAGAGAAGAACCTGATGTCGGGTCTGTAAAACATAAGCAGTAAATATTTCATTAGAGACAAATTCTAATGGTTTTCTTAATATGAAAATCACTGGTATAGAATTGGCAATCAAAATAATTATATGTACAGCTAATTGCAGTCATGAATGAGAGTGGTGGTCTAAATAGTGTAGAGTACATAGTAATAGATAGTCACGACTTTGGAATTCACCAAATATGTGCTGTGGTATGTTAAAAAATTATGTTTTTGGTTGGGTCAGCACTAGATTGAGTTTGTTTCCTAGGCACACAGTATTGCAGATGGAGGTGGTCTGAGCAAGTGTAAGCAACTGAGGAAATTATTAATAACTGAGGAGGACTCACTATTCATTGAAAATCCCCAAGCCAAACCATACATACAAGCTCTACAAAACTGGATTTCTTCAAACAGTTTGTCTCTTATTCATGTTGCCATTTTATAGTTAAAAGATCAAGAAAATTCACATCAGTTATTTTAAAGACATGTTTAATTCCTTCATTCACATTTTTCATGTCAATTTTTATGAAATTTTACTAAAGATGTTATTATTTGATAAAAATATTGAAAATATAAACATACATGTGGAGGTTGTGTATGTATAACACATATCTAGATATTACATACACATACAAGTATATATACATATTCTAAATGCATTTATGTATATATATTGCTTTATATAATAGAAAAGTTTTTGTACACAAATCATTTATATTCTGGAACAAGTAATTAATTTAACTGTTAATAACATTTTAAGTTTGAAAGATAAGAATTTAAAGTTGTAATAACTAAAGAGAGAAGGAATATTTTTGTGAAAATAGACAGGGTTAGCTTTTAAGGTAATTCAGAAATATTCATTAAATCTTTAACATTTACAACACACTTTACTTGGCACTGGAGAGTGTGGGTGGTGCAGGGTATAAAAATGAAGGTACTATTGGTGTCTTCAGCAACTTACAACTTAGCTGAGAAGAGTCAAGGTATAATAGAGACAGAGTAGAATATGCTAAGTACCATAGGAAATGAAAGAACATAACCTGGAGTCAATATACCCAATGAGTAGCCATTTTGATGTTGCTTATCTTTGTTATGTTTTTTTAGCAGTTCACTTTAATTTACCCTCTAATCACCAGCCAAGGACAGATCCAGTTTCTCAGAGGTAGCTGTTGATAATTGTTTTACAACTCCCTCCCAGCTTGTTTTATACTAATTAGCTTTTCTATTTCAAGTATTTGCCTCAAGTAAGACCCACGTTAAACTAATCAGTCCTTCATGACCTTCAGGACACAGACAGACCCCATCACCATGGCAGCAATCATGTGACTAACCCACCCATCTGCTGGCTGCCATCACCTGACATCAGTACCTGTGCTTACCTGCCCTCCCTGATGACGTGGAGCAGACCACCACCCAATCACCTTAATGATCTGCCCCCATCAAAGGAAAAGTTTAAAAGGATTCAACCTGAAGCAGTCATTTGTCATTGCTTTGTTAAACTGTACTGTGTCCATGTGGCTCTTTGAGCTATGACTGCCATGTTTTCTTGGACCTGGCCCCCTTCCCTACCTTGGGAAGTGAATATCTCCTCTCTCTTCTCTCTAATTTACTTTCTAGATAAACGATGTTTTCCAATATAACTTTGGTGACCTTGTTTGCATCTTTCATGTGGCACCAGATTGCATACACACCCCTGTCGGGCCTTACCTAACATTTTGGAGGCCCTGGTGGGATTTTAATCTAACAGTAAAGGTACAATATTTTATGAAGACTTAAAGAAAAAAAATTGTTCTTGTTGAGAAGAATAGCATTTTATGCCCAATGCCAGCTCAGATACCACCTTCATGATGGAATTAATATTTTTTTAGGTTGAGATGGAAGAAAATGATTCTGGCCAGTGAACCTCAAGGCTGGAGAAACATGGAGGCGTTTTTAGTGACCAGTGAGATCCAGTTGGACTAGAACAAAGAAAGCCATAAGTTTATGGGTAAATCTTGGAAAACCTTGTAAATTAGAACGGTTTAGATTTTCTTTGAGTGTCACTAAGCCATTTTAATGCCTTAGAATGATTAATCTGGTTTGAAAAGAGTAAAGAACAGTTAGGAGATATTGTGAAATGAAAGCCTGAACTAGGGTAGAGTTACTGCATTAGGAAATAGAATTGAGGGGCTCTATGTAAAAAACATTGGAATTTAATATAACAATTGAAGTTTCAATCCGGGTGACTGGAAAAAATGGCATATTTTTAACAGAAGCAGGAACTCAGAATGAGCTGGGGTGGGGAAAGAAAAGACAAAGGAAGGTAAGAGGTTATGTTGAGAATCAATCAGACATTCAGGAAGGGGCTTGGGAAAATGGATTTTGAAATTATTGGCAGACAAAACAATCCTCAGCAAACAAACAAATTTAAAAAAACTCCAAAACAAAACAAAGCAGGAGGTTTCACACCTCCAGACTTTAAACTTTATTATAAAACTACAGTAATCAAAACAGCCTGGTATTGGTACAAGAACAAGCATATAGACCAATGGAACAGCACAGAGATTCCAGAAGCAAAACCTCAATTTCTCAACCAACACATCTTTGACAAAGCCTTACCAATGACTGGGAAGAGGAGAACCTGTTCAATAAATGGTGCTGGGAAAACTGGCTGATCACATGCAGGAGATTAAAACAAGTCCCCTACTGTCATCATACACAAAAATCAACTCTAAATGGATCAAAGACCTAAATGTAAAACCTCAAGCTGCAAGATTCTTAGAAAATACAGGAGACACCTTTATGGGAATTGGAACTGGCAACTAATTCCTGATCAAAACCCCAAGTGCCCATGCCATAAGAGATAAGATAGACAAGTGGGACCTCATCAAAGTTATAAGCTTCTGCAAAGCCAAAGAAGCAATCAAGAGGACAGACAGTCCACAGAATGGGAAAAAATATTTGCCAACTGTATATCAGACGAAGGCCTAACACCTAAGATCTACAAGGAACTCAAACACGCCAAAAAGAAAAAAACAAACAGCCCCATTACAAAGTGGGCAGAAGATAGGAAAAGACAGTTATCAAAAGAAGACATACAAGCAACCAACAAGTACATGAAAAAATGCTCAGCCTTACTAGTCATCAAAGAAATGCAAATTAAAACTACACTGAAATACCACCTAACTCCAGTCAGGATGGCCATCATCAATAACTCAAAAAACAACAGATGCTGAAGAGGATGTGGCATAAAGGGAACACTTCAACACTGTTGGTATGGGAGTGTAAACTAGTACAGCCTCTGTGGAAAACAATGTGGTGATTCCTAAAAGATCTAAAAATTGACCTTCCATATGACCCTGCAATCCGAACTCAAATCACTCTATGAAAAGGATACCTGCACACACGTTTGTTGTAGCATTGTTCACAATAGCAAGAACATGGAACCAACCATGCTGCCCATCAAAGAGGACTGGATTAAAAAAATGTGGTACATATACAGGATGAAATATTACACAGCCATAAAGAAGAACAAAATCATGAACTTCACAGCAACCTGGATGGACTTAGAGTCTATAATATTGGGTGATCTTTCACAGAAACAAAGAACTGAGTATCACAATTTCTCACTCATAAGCGGACCTTGAACAACTATCGTAATACTATAAGAAAAAGATTGGAAATAGTGGGAAACTGCCGGGGTGGTGTGGAGGCAGGATTGGCAGTAGTGGGAATCTGCTTGTGGAAGGGGAGGCATACCTCATCAACAAGGGTAGCTGCATAATGAACATTTGCCTACATAACCCTGAATTGTACCCCCACATCTTTAAAATAAAAAAATTAAAAGTTAAAAAAAATAAAAAAAGAAATTATTGGCAGAAACATCATAGGTGAAATTGATGTGCATACATTCAGGATCATTGTCTTTTTCACAGATGGATCCTTTTATCATTATTAATGTCTCTCTTTGTCACTAGCAAATTTCTTTGCTTTGTTATCTACTTTATCTGATATTTACCATGGCCACTCCTTTGTTTTAGTTAATGTTTGTATGTTTTTCCATCCCTTTCATATCACTTTATATTGTTATATTTGAAAGAAGTTTCTTATAGACAGCATATTTTTGAATCACAATTTAAAAAATCCATTCTGCCCATCTCTGTCTTTTAATTAGTGTATGTAGGTATGTTATTGATATGACTGAAGCCTGAAATTATATATTATTTCTGTTTGTTCTTTCAGTTTTTCAGTCCACTATTTCTCTTCTCTTACTCTCCTCGGTTATATGACATGTTTTGGATTCTATTCTGATTTATTTATAATATTTATGAGTATGCTAGTTGTATAGTTTTTTAAGTAGTTGCTTCAGGTATTAGAATGTGTGTGTGTGTGTGTGTGTGTGTATACATATATATATAACACAAATATATATATTTATATATATATATAAAACACTTATCACGGTCTATTGGTTTTGGCATTTGCTACATCAAGCAAGGTATAGAAATCTTACTTTCATTTAGATCTTTTTTCTCTTCCCACTTTATTTTTATTTATTTAATTTTTAAATTTAATTTTTTTTCAAGATGAGGTCTCTCTCTATTACCTAGGCTGGTCTCCAACTCCTGGGCTCAAAAATCCTCTTAACTTGGTCTCCCAAAGTATTGGGATGAGCTACCCACCCAGTCCTCCTTTCTACTTTATAAATACAATTTATAAATAGGCATGAGCTACCACACCCAGTCCTCCTTTCTACTTTATAAATACAATTGTTTTAAGTATTTCTCTATATCTATTGCACATCATATCAGATGGCATTGTAATTTTTATTCCAACTCATGATTTTACTCCTCATGATTATTATTTATTTTATTATAATTATTTAATCATCATGAAGAGAAAGACAGTCCATAATTTTATTTATTTATTTATATCAAATCCATTCTTCTTTTTTCCTTTCTGCGATTCCAAACTTCCACTATTATTATTTCCTTGTTCAGAGGGTTTCTTTTAGGCATTGTTTAAGGA